TACGTATTTCACAAATATAACAAAAACTATGGGTTCATATGTAATTTTTTCATGTAACTTGCTTTGAAATATCATAGATATAGTATATGAATATATTTAAAATGATAAAGTAGTATATATAGTACCGCATGGTAGTATATGAGACATATGGGGTAACTACCACCGGGTGGTAGGATGGATTTTCCCTATATATATATATATATATATATATATATATATATATATATATATATATATATATATATATATATATATATATATATATACATACTAGTAAGTGTGCACGTGCAACGCACGTTTATTTTGAACTAATAAGTGTGCATGTGCAACACGTGTCTATTTGGATTAACACATTATACTAAACTTAATACAAGACAATTTATTTATAAATTTGAATTTCCCTATAAAATACACAATCTCTTATTCCCTACTCGTACAAACAATTTAAAATATCTTTTCTCCTTAATTAACATGTCTCCTGTATTAAAAGACCATCAAGTGTTTCCAATGTATAAAACTCAAAACTATTTAGAAGATTCATCATGATTCTCCATATGCACACATTTATGCAAGTATAATCACACATGAAAATGTCACTTAGGACAAGCTAAGAAACCGTTTCAGTGCCAACAAACTCCAGTCAAGAATTATTATTACAAGAGTGTCAACCACAATAGTGGGAAGAGACCTCTATGATTTGTCGAAAAGAGGAAGCCATTGTCAGATAGAGAAGTGTAGAGATGTCTTGACTGCATAGAATCAGATGTGAAACAAGACAAAAAATGCTAGTTGGACCATCCGATTCTACTATTGCACACAAATATCGTAATATCTGGGTGACTTACTTTATTATGAAAATAGAACATGTAAACCAAATAAAAATTACAGTGATAAATTGCATAATTATACTTGTTATTCACTGGACAAAAGCATTAATACGACAACTTGAAACAGTTACTTGAGTACTACATATTTCTTTAAGGGCTCAACATTCTAAAATTTTGACAATATAACAAATATCCTCTCAGTTTGTAGTAATAATGATACGAAGATAAATAATTTGGAAATGGTCTTCAACATGCATAGACTACCACTTGTAAGAATAACAGTGGCAAAAAAAGCCAACAAATGCCGGTTTAGAAAGAAAAAAACTGCAGACATGCTTCCAATTTTAGCAACTATAGTGGATAAAACATACATTACCTCTCAAGTCAGGAAATAGTTAAATGAAAAAAATGTACTTCTTATAAGTAGTAGAGATGAAGTCATAAGGATCATGATTCAAGATATTCGAAGAAACATAGTTGGTCTCTCTGTATGATGCGAACTCGTCACCTCTATCAAAGTGGTCGTGCGTAGTATGTAATATATAGTGCAATAATGAAATAAATTAAATGATATGAGAATTTACCATGACCACAAAATATCCTACATTCGTCATCATCATAATCAACATGCATTTTTTGCTTCTCTTGTATGTGGTCCAAGTTTTCTATCAGGAAAACATGTTAACTCAACTGTAGATAAGGACGGTATGAAAATGCTCATGTAACTCAACTGCTGGACAAACAAATACACTTATGTAAACTTCAGATTTTTTTAGTAAAACTTATGCGAACTTTATTTTTTTTTCACTAAAACTTATGCAAACTTCTGGTTTTTTTTCCACGTAATTTCATGACTGCAAGTAAGGTCTTGGTTCAGCGGATTTGTCTGTGAATTTACTATGTAGTCGTGAGTTGGTCATGTAATAACCGGTAGTCAGTACTTAAAAAAATAGTGATGTCTGTTGCAGGTACGTGAAAATCAGTGAAAATAAAGAAAGAAAGAAGGCATTGGTTGCCTGAAACCCAACTTTGTGTGCTCCAGCGCGCCTCTGTTTCTCATTGCCTCATCTCTAGTTCCTGTACTTCTAGATATGTCACCACCGGCGAGGTATCGATGACAGTAAAAAAACAACACTCGGTGCTTACCTGATTAGTGCGTGCGTGCGACGCGTTCGCGTGAAGGCGAGCGTCTCCGTCGTTCAGGCCTGCGAGCGGCCGCGGAGACCGTGTCCTCTCACCAGCTGGGCGGCGTTGTCGACGCAAGTGAATCGGTCGTCCAACTTTGAGGCGGGGCCCCCACTTGATTTTTTTGACCCGCTTATACTGGTCCAGGATACTCAGCGTTGCCCCCACTTGAAGGGCGTCGGCGGTGGGTGGTTGTTAGCGTGGGTATTGTGGACGGAGCTGAAGTCGACGCGGATGCCGGTGGTTCCCGGAGAGCATGACATGACGTGGACGAAGTCGTTGCAGTAAGTAGAAAAAGTGACCTGGCCTCCAGGCAGAAGACGAAATCGGCGACGGCACGTGTGTGTCTTCGGACGAAGCCGCAGCTCCTCCCCGCGTGTCTCCCACTGTGGCTCGCGTGGGTGGTGGGCTGGTGACGGCAGGCGACTCGCGATCGCGATTCCTGAGACGATAGGATGCGCTCGCGGTTAGTTTCCTAATAATTAGACGCGTTCATGATTAGTTATCTAATAGGATGCGCGCGTGATTAGTTTCCTAATAATTAGTTGCCACCATAATTAATTTCTTAATAGGATGCGCGCGTGATTATTTTCCTAATAATAGGATGCGCCCGTGATTAGTTTCCTAATAATAAGATGCATTTGTGATTAGTTTTCTAATAATTAGATGCGCATGTGATTAGTTTTTTAATAGGAGTGTCCGTGATTATAGTTTCCTAATTGATCAGACGTAGACTTTCATATTTTTCCTCCGCGGTGGAGTACGGTCAGTCAATGTAAATTGCTAAGTGCACACAGAGAACAAATTAGGTTAAGGCTAGCCGTTAGATTGAGTTTAATGGGACTAATCATGCGATGGTAATGTATCCGTGTACGTTTTATGAGGTGCACTTAGAGAAGATAATGTTTGCTCTTTTATAAGTAGTATAGATGAACCAACCCGTGGTTGGATGGTTAGGAGAACAATGGTATATTCAGTCCAACAGGGTTCATGTCCTGCTGTTTGCATTTTTCTGGATTTTTTTAGAACTTCCGGTGATGCAGTTCAGTGGTAGGAGACATTCACGTTGACTATGAGATGCCTACGGCGACTTCGTAAATTTTTAAAATAATATGTCAGCTCCGTCTCTCAAATATACTAGTAAGGATATAATATGTGTATGTGCATTCATAGAAATGAATGTATGCGCGTATATATGAGCGATTGTATTTGTATTGTATTCCAGAAAATATTATAGATGAGCCCTGGGCCGCCGCATTTTTGCCATGTGCCGGCCCTGCGGCAACCCGACTAATTCGAATACCGGTCCGGTTTTAAAATTATGGAGTGAGGTTCTATACATAACTCTTTTTTATTTGTGAAAATCTATACATAACTCTTTGATTGACCTGGTAAAATCATGTCAGTAAACTAGCGCAAAATGAGTTCTCTGCAGATTAAAATGGTCAAAGCTTTCCGTTGACAGCATGTGCCTAAAACCAAAGTACACCATACAGGCGTAAACGCAACCTAGATGAGGTAGACAGAGACATATACATCACCTCAAGAGAGAGAACGAAAAGATACGCGTGCACGTGAACCTGGCTTGCCAACGCCCAACAACCAGACTTTTCAACGAGAAAAAAAAAGTCAAAAAAGAAAACAAGAGGCTGAAGCCAAACTCACCTCTTCAACCTTTTTCCTTTTGTTTGTCAAAAAAGGAAAAACTATTTTTCCACTTTCTTGAGGGCAACTATTCTAATATAAAATATAACAGTTTAGTATAATATATTCCAAATTATAATAGTTTTTAGTATTTGAATATAAAATATAGCTAAACTGAAATGAATGAACAAACACACTAAAACACGTCTATGTACATCCGATTCAAAGAAAATAAGAATATCTTATAGTTCGAAACCGAGGAGTACTATTTGCTTCAACCCAGATGAAACTCTAAGAAAAGTTATTAATGAAAATAAAAGATTAGGAAAAATCAGTAGGGAAGAGATTCTATATACTAATATAATATAAAACAAAATTTTAAAAATAAAATAAATAACACTATAAATGGGTTATTGGCATGGACTAAACCTACCACCAAAATCGGAAGTCAATGGCTCTCACTTTTCCACTTTGAATGCAGTCCACCTGCCACCAATAATAATTAATCACTGTAGATAATTTATCTCCCAGCTACAAAAACAAGAAACAAAAGTGGAATGTCACTGTCTCCTCCTCCACTGCTCCAACTGTTCAACCCCTCCTCCTCCTCAGACCTCATCCTCCTCCTGGACCTTTCCCCTCCCTCCCACGCCGCTCCCGTGGTCCTCCCCACGACCCCACCCACCCCGGCGACCTCCCCCCACCCCCACCGCCGCCGCCCCGCCGCGCGGCACCGTCCTCCTCCATCGCCTCGCCGCCTCGCCGCGGCGTATCTCCGGCGCCGGCCCGTCGGTGAAG